ATATCGCTCCAGAAAGAGATGGTTTTCTATTTAAACATGTCAATTATATTATCGAATCACGGGTAAATACCAATATAAATAAACCATTTAATATTTCATTATTTAAAAAAGCCAACTATCTTATATCATACATGACATATTTAATTTCAAGCGACATCAAGCGACAGTTACAAGAAGATATAGTGATTTTTGGTGGCTAATGGAATGCTTAGTAAAAAAATATCCTTATCGTATCTTACCTGATCTTCCACCAAAAAAGATTGGAGGTAAATTTCTTAATTCATAGACTATTAACCAATTAACTGTTAGAAAAATCGGATATTAGAATAATCCGATATTTGTTTGATCTAGTTAACGGATTTTATTTCACAGTTGATGAATCTTTCCTGGAAAAACGACGGAAAGGATTAGCACGCTTCCTGAACTTCATTTCGAGGCATCCAATATTAAAAGATGACCAATTGGTAGAAATGTTTCTCAAAGAACAAATAGTAAGATCATATACATTATTATTATTTTCTAAATGATGGATTTAATTTTTAATGTTATATACATATATATTTTTTATCAAAAATAGGAAATAGCAGTGTGGCGTAGAACAAATTCACCGGATCTGGAAGAAGAATATCTTAAAAGAAAGGTTACACCTGAAATGGAACGTCGTATACCCGTAGATTTAGATAAAAGATTAGAAAAAGTTGTGAAAAAATTAGATGATACTGTTGAACATTACAGAAATATGTGCAATATAATGGAGCGTATCTCCCGTCGCCAAGAAGGTTTGTACTAGACTTTAACAATATATTATATAGCATGTTATATAGTACATTTTACGTGTGGATTTGGAGGAATTGTAATTTAAGAATTAATTTTCTTTTTCAATCATTTATTATTTCAAAGGCATGGCAATCGATTATATGCGATATCACTTGGCCTTGAAGTATGTCTGATATATCATTTAAATGTAATGTACTATTATTATTAAATTTTAATTGGTTATCTGTGATAGTTCTTTAATAGAAAAAGAAAAGGGTTGCTATATTGGTATTTACCCGTGATTCGATAATATAATTGACATGTTTAAATAGAAAACCATCTCTTTCTGGAGCGATATTTACTGTAATATGGTCCATATCATAAAACCACTGGAATTCGTCTTCGCTAGGCAACGTGGTAATAATTGCAGGAGCATTAATGTTGTTATTTATAGGAAAATTTGTCTGTTGAGGATATGTAGGATTTGACATATTTGTTGCAGGCATAGCCCACGGATCATCGGCTTGTAGAGGCATTGGTGGAGGATGCGAAGCAGAAAAGGAATTTAAATCTCGATTGAAATTAAGGCTCTCCAAATTTGTCAAAATTGGTTCCGGAAGATCTGCGTAAAAAATTAGAATACATTAAAACAGATGAAATCTTCACAAATTCAGAACCAATTAAAACTTACCGTCTTTTCTTTCAATTAGTGTCTCAATTGAAACATCTTAAAATTTAATTATAATGATTTATGTTTAATTAAAATAAAAGTTACAAATAAAATTATTAATCATAACTTTCAAATTTTATTCACCCATATTCTTTTGTGCCAACGCCACTAATGCGAGAGCTACGTTAAATTCTCCGCGATTTACACGAGCGCTATTTGCCGCAGCAGCCAAGTTTATAATCTTTTTAAAACAGATCACTTATTAATAAACCTAATTTCCAGATACCATAACATCACGTAATACATACTTTTTCAATCGTCGCGTGAGGTAGTCCACTAATGCTTAAAATTTTGCTCAAGGCAGAAATAGAAATTGACCCTCCGACTGGTGCCGCTTGCATAAAAGCATTATTATAAACCTCAGGTAATAGGACATCAGCTAAATATATATATATGATATCAGCACTAGCCTAAACTTATCGATAACAAATAAAACAAACTCACTCAAAATAGTTGAAATATCATGCTGAGGAGGATCCCATGGGTTAATGTTGTTTAAGGAATCTGTGGTAAATGAAGCAGACTGACTAACTTCTGGGATTTCAGGGCTTGCCGAAACAGAAGGCTGAAATTTAGAAGACTCAAAGAAAGAGGCGGACAAAGCTTCTTCTTCCAGCATTTTAATATTTCAAACGAAAAATTTTGATTGTGAGAAAAAATTTTTGTGGTAATTTATAGTTTAAAACTGAGTACAGCATAATAAAGCTTTACTAGTAAATCCATATTTATAATTCATTAAAGGATTGATATACGTTATCACACAAGTATTATACGGGTATCATTTATTTTATTTAATAGAATTGGTGTGACACGCTGAATTTTATTACTCTATCGTGAATACTAATAAGGCTGTACAATTAATATACTAACTATATAAAAAGATACATCTACATACATTTTAAAAAAAAAAACTTGCTACGGTAAGAAAATGTATTAGTAATAACGACTTTAAAATATATATTTTTGCTGTTTTTATGGATGAGACGCCAATGTACATTAGTACATTTGCTTCAAAAGCCTAGTGCACACGATACAATCACCTTATCAATAACCAAAAAAATTTTCCAAAAATTGGTAGAAAAAATCCAGATTATAATAGCATTGTCCCAGTTCAGTTATGCCTCATTACTGGGTATAAAGCTCTCTGGACACGAACGTGAAGGTCATCAAACAATGCATAAGGTTATTTGTGCAAGCATGATTTTTATGGGATTATTATTGCATAAATGTTGTGAACTTTCCACGTGATATAAAAGGCCATAATCCATTAGGTTTCTTCAATATCAAGACCAAAAGACATAGTTCTATATGATGTAGACTGTTAAAGACAATAATTACCATCTACATAACAAATCCTTTCAAATAAAGAGTACCGTACAGCGTGGACTAAAATACCCAGGTTACTTTACAATTTAAGCTGTATATATGGGTATTATAGTCGGAGGGGTACACTGGCGATCATAAGTAGTGCAACAAAAAAAATAGATCGCAATATTTCACGCAATTCTGGGTCTATCTTTTCAATTTTTTTTTTATTTTACTCGCAAATAGTATCCTTT